TGTTCGTACGAACCCTTTGTACGAACAAAAGTAAGAGAAATTTAGGATAAGAATACGAACATGTTCTTGCATGAGGCCCAATGTCTGTAAATTTAATTACACTTTAGTCATTTATATGTTGGCTAAATTGGTTTAGCTGTCCACTGATTCATTAGATATTTTGCTAACAGACAGACGTGGCGTTTTGTGTCGATGCGTGTGAAGTCCCCCTGATCTGTCACCGCTGCGCTGCGGAGCTTCCTGGTTCGGCTGGTTCCAGGGCAAACAGAAAATAACTGGGAAGTTTCTGGAGTTGCTTAAAGTGCCGCACAGATTGGTGCCTGTTACAGTAAACCTGCTGTTTATTCTCTGCAGGATGTTCCTCTGGAGCAACTCCCAGTCAATAAATACAATTCTACTATAAAGTTCCAAAACAAACTTTACACAAGCAAAACTAACATTCACACACTGATCCCTCCCAAACACATCAACAATTCACCATTTTAAAAAAGAATTTCCTTTATGATTTAGAAGACACCCAAAAATAACTTTAAAAATAGTCCATTTTTGAATGAACATTTTGATTTTAAGTCACTAAAGTGAAACAGCTGATTTTTAAACTTCTTCTACAGTAAACTGAGATTGTAGTGCTTTAGGTTTTCACAGATGACTGAAGTAACACAGAGTACAGAGTTCCCTGTGCTGCTGATGTTTCACCAGTGGCTCTGCATTATTTAAGAAAGGTTAATGATGGCCATTATTCATTTAATGTAATCTATTGAACGCTGAAGCTGTTTCTCAGTTTGTTGACTTTAAAGGGGGAGTTGTAATGAGGTTCAGATTGATTTCAGCCTGCTGAAGGGGTGTTCACATCAGCAGTACCACTTACGTTATTGTTAACAATAAGATGAGATTTACTTTATTTTACCCTGAATACAAACTGTAGTTATAGACCAGGGCTTTTCTTTAAGGTGAGTTAAAGCTCGGATAATCAAGATTTAGACCCATATTGGTGGCACAGTATTATATTCCTTTGAAAATTTAAGCTGTGTTGACACATATTTTATTTTATTTTTTATTGTATTTTTGTCTATGAAGTGTTTTACCGAGCATATTGGTGAGCCACAGGGCCAGGTCCTCCTTCATTGGCAGCAGGCTGGCTTCATGTCGACTGGAGAGCCACTGGTGGTACTGCTGCATGTCTGTCAGTCCAGGTCCACAGGCCTGCTTGGGGCTCAGCGAGCTGTACATGGTTCCCTATGGATTACCTGCAGAGAAGGTTTAAAAAGAAAACGGCTGAATTAGTCCTAAACACCTGTGATGAATCTGTGTCGATATGGAAGTTGACACAAGATAAATGATAATAACAACGTAGATCAATACAGCAAATCTGGACAATAAGTATATGAAGTAATTGTTTGCATTGGCAGGTAAATGATGGATCATTATACTTTCATATGTACTGTAATATAGGTATCAAAAGTATTCACATTCATTACTCAGGAAGAAATATGGTTAAAAAAGACTTCAGCAGAAGTTGAAGTGTCAACTCCGGTTCTTTACTCAAGTAAAAGTGTGAAAGTTTTGGTTTTAAAACCACTTAAAGTATAAAAGTATAATGTAAAGAGAGGCAAAAAGTCATTAAGGACAAAATCTTAGGCTGTGCCGCAGGTGTCTATAATCCCACCTCCCCCCAAAAAACATTTTTCTAAAGGTATTAATGATTATAATGTAGTAGAGTAATTCCTGCGAAAATGCAAGGATGAATGCTTGTTGCTGAAATGTTTTGCTGAACAGCTGAACTGTAGCCAATATTGCAGAAAACAACTGAAAGAAGCATAAAAAGCTAAAAATTAGCAGAAAGGAGTAGAATCATAGCTGAATTGGCAAAAAAAAAGTTCAAATTGAAATGAGCATAAAGAAGCAGAAGGTGCACTGCACGTTTGCTGAATTAAGTAGAAAGAAGCTGAAATGTCCACCTATTTGTGAATTTAGTTTGAAAATTATATTTTTAGCTAATAACAGCTGAACAGTAACTAAAATTGCAGGAAATATATAAAATTAGCAGAAAGCAACTGAAAGAAGCCTTATAGGTTCAGATAGAAGCACAAAAAAGTTGAAATCAGCAGAAGAATAGCAGAAAGTAGTAGAATCTAGGCTGTAATAGCAAAAAAAGCTACAAAGTTACATTTTAATTTCCTGTATTTAGATTTAAAACGGCATGGTGGCTCAGTTGGTAGAGCTGATGCCTCTCAGCAAGAAGGTCACCAGTTCAAATCCCAGTCTGGGGACCTTTCTGGGTAGAGTTTGCATATTCTCTCCGTGCATGCGTGGGATCTCTCCGGGTACTCCGGCTTCCTCCCACAGACTAAAAACATGACTGTTAGGTTAATTGGTAACTCTAAATTGTCCCTAGGTGTG